AAAAAGTTTTCCAAAGAACGTCGGTAATTTTCGAGAAATATTGATCACTATTGCAAATACATCGCTTTTTTACGTAAAATCACACTTGCCGTGCGTGTTCTGGCGAACGCACTTTTAACGTCACAAAAATGCGTTTTTAGGACGTTGGTCGTTGACCTGCCAAATCGGTTTAGGCAACTTCAAATGTGCGGCTTTGCCATTTAAAATCATTCTTCTTTGCAGTTTTTGTTTAGATGAACGTGCCTTTAACGTCCCAAAAAGTTTTCCAAAGAACGTCGGTAATTTTAGAGTAATACTGATCACTATTGCAAATACATCGCTTTTTTACGTAAAATCACACTTGCCGTGCGTGTTCTGACGAACGCACTTTTAACGTCACAAAAATCCGTTTATGGGACGTTGGTTGGTGACCTACAAAATCCGTTTAGGGCACTTCAAATGCGTCGCTTTTTCACTTGACATCACACTCATGCGGCGTTTTTTTGACGTACGTACATTGAACGTCACAAAAAATGCATACGTGCTCATAACGTCCCAAAAACGTCGCTTATTTTCGAGTAATATTCATGAAAGCTATTGCAAATGCACCGTTTTTTTGCGTAAAATCATACTTACCGTGGGTTTTCTGACAAACGTTCATTTAACGTCCAAAAAATGCGTCGCTTTTCCACTTAAAATCACACTTACCATGCGATTTCTGACAGACGTACTTGTAACGCCCCAAAGAGTATGTTTATAAGACGTTGGTTGTTGACTCACAAAATCACACTTTGTAGTACGTACGTACTTTCAACGTCCCAAAAAGTCTTTTAAAGAACGTCGGTTATTTTCGAGTGGTATTCATTAACACAGTTGCAATTTCAATCTTTTTTTTTTTTCAAGTTACTTGATGTTTTTTGGACGAACGTACTTTGAACGTCACAAAAATGCGTTTCTAAGACGTTGCCTGTTGAGATGCAAAATCCATTTACGCAACTTTAAATGCGTCGCATTGCACGTTAAATCACATTCACGCGACGTTTTATGGGTGTACGTACTGTTTGATTGACGACGTCCAACGAACGTACTGTTAACATCCTGAAAATGTTTTTATGAAACGTTGGTTGTTTAGTTGAAAAATTGTGTACGTGCTTTTAACGGCACGAGCAGTTTGTCTAAACGTCGATCGTTTTCGAGCAATATTCATTTGCACTGTTGGGAATACATCGCTGTTTCAACGTAAAAACCCTTAGATCACGATTTTTCACGAACGTACTTTTAAGGTTATAAACATGTTTTGTGAAACGTTGGTGGTTTAGTCGCATAATCCGTATAAGCTTATTTACAGCGTAAGTTGCTTAAACGGATTTCGCTACTGCGTACGTACTTTTAACGTCACATAGTCTTTAAAACAACGTCGGACGTTTTCAAATGAGAATCATGATCACAAATAAAAATGCGTACTTTTTCATGACAAAATATCTTTGTGGCGTTTCCTGACAAACGTCCTTTTAACGTCTCGCCACGTCGTTGATAAAACGTTGGTTGTTTACACGCTAAATATATATTAATCACTTCAAATTGGGCATTTTTTTGTTGCAAAATCACTCACTTGACATGTTTTGGCAAACGTACTTTTAACGTCTCACAAATGTCTTCTAAGACTTTGGTCGTCTACGCACTAAACTCACATACACCACTTCAAACGCGTAATTTTTCGCAAGGAAATCACACTCGCCTTTTTTTTGGCTAACGTACTTTTAATGTCGGAACATGTTTTTCAGTTTTTGCACGTAAGGTTTACGTTTTGTTTCTCGTTTTTCGATAAAAAATCACACTTCTGACGATTTTGTACAAACGTATCGGCAACGGCGCCGAAGGCCTTTAGGAACACGTCGCGAATGAAAATCAAACACACTTATTTCGGGTGCTTTTGGGTTACGTACTTTTACATGCACATACTGGCAACGTCGCCAAACTCTATTATCCTCATTTGAAATGCATATACACCGTTGCCAAATTGCTCACTTTTTAATATAAAATCACACTGACTTGACGTACTTTTTACGTTTTTTTTTTTGGATGCGTGCTGGCACCGTTACAATTTTTCTTTAAAAGCGTCGTTGTTCTAACATGAGATTCATATATACTTCGTTGCCAAATTGGTCACTAGTTAGTATAAAATCACATTTACTCGACGTGCATTTGGGTCACGTACTTTTAACGTCGCATGTTTCAAGTTATTTTTCGCTTTTTTTATAAGAACTGGCAACGTTGTCAAACTTTGAAAAAACGTTGTTGCCAAATTGATCACATTTACTTGGTGTCACAAACCACACCCGTGTGTTCACAAATTCATTCGTCGGAGAATGACGGCAACGCCGCCCAAAAAAAGCTTCAGCGCCCTCTGGACTCATCCGAAGCGTTCACCGCACTGACGGTTGGTTACGTCATTATTTTTGTGTGCAAACTGTCAACGGAAAAACGAAACCTGTTGCCTTGAATGGCCATCATCAGACATGAGCAAAACGATTGTAGATTTTGATTATAGTTTTTTTTCTTCACTCTTGGGCGAATCGATTGTGAATCGTTTTGATAATTTAACGCGTCATTTTGTGTGCGGACAATGTTGTCATAACCGAGAAAGTCGCGCGTGCGGCTGTCACTCTTTGTCTAATTTTCGCATTTATGTTATTAATTATTTAGATTTCGCTTATTGTATAATAATGTATAATAATGTGATCGTTACGGTAATTCCAATGTGAAGCAATCGAAGTTGTGATACTGCTAAAGTCAATTATAATTGTTGAGTAGTGGAAATGGAAACGGGAAATTTGGACTTTTTGAAGTGGAAAACTTCTGGATGTTGCTGCGGACAATTGAAAAAAAATTAAATCTAGTGGTCGATTCATTATTCTAGGCTGTTCTGTGTATCTTGCCTGTTATTTTATTGTTTTTCTAGTTTTAGGCGCCGAAAAATCCATGTATGTGTTGTTGTAACTCCTTGTGAACTTGTACATATTAAGCCGGACGTTTTGTAAATAATAATTATAACAATAATAAATAAATATTTTGAAATCGCCCGGCCGTCATTGGCTGCCCCCCGATGGGGGGCAGCCCGCCAAAACAATTAAATCAACAGTTGCTTACTGGTCGATCGCTGATGGGCGGGGCAGTCACGGTTTGGCAACGCCGCCCCGGTCGGCCTTCTGTCAGAACTTCAGACTGAAGCCGGCGCCGCCGCGGCGCATGTCAACCCCCATCCCCAGCCGGAACCCGTAGCCGTCGTCATCTTCGCCGCCCTGCAACGTTGCCACGGTGTGATCGATTTCCCGCGGTTGGGGCGCAACTTACCAGTTTTTTGTACTCGCCGCCGCCGCTAGGGGGCTTCGGGCTGGCGGCCATCGCGCGCTTGTGCCCCAATTCGCTCTTCGCCGGCCACGTCGGGAACATGGCGGGATCGATGGGCAGCGGCGGTTCGCCAAAGTAGGCGTGTTTCAGCGCCTCCTCCGCCGTGATGCGCTGCGCCGGATCGTAGGTGAGGAATTTCAGTAGGAGCCCGAGCCCGATTTCGCTCAAAGTGCTGAATTTTGCGCGCAAATTCGACACCGGATAGTCGTGGAACTTGATCTTGTTGACGGCCGGCAAACTGTTGAAGCCCGGCCAGACTTGCTCGTTCGGGGTGCCCAAATCCTGCAAAAAACCCCAAAAACTTCATTTCGTGAAAAAACTTGGAAAAACCCACTCACCTTGAAAATCCGGTTTAACTGATCAACTTCGGATTTGCCGGGAAAGAGGGCGGTCATTTGCAGAAGTTCGGCAAATATGCAACCCACCGACCACACATCGATCGGAATGGAATACTGAAAATGCAAAATGCGGTGTTGCCGTGCGGTGCGAAAAATACCCGACCGATTTGCCTACCTCCTTGGTGCAAAGCAGGAGTTCGGGGGCGCGGTACCACAACGTGACAACAACGGGCGTGTAGGCCTTCAATGGGGAGCCGTATTCGCGTGCCAGGCCGAAGTCGCCCACTTTCAAAATGCCCTTGTGCGACAGCAGCAGATTGGATGTTTTCAAATCTCTGTAAACAGAAAAAAAAAAAAATTTTTGGCTTATTTGCCCGGACTATTAGTAGGGGAAATTGAGCTAAAAGCGACCCGGTTGCGACTTTCTCGTCGCTGACCCAAAGAATTTGCCTGCAAGTTTTCCCAGATGGAGATCAGCAGAATCCGCGCTAATTATTCGCTAGAAAGAATTTTTTGAAAACTTGCAGTGATTTTTCAAAAAACGCAAAATTGTGCGTCTGATTTGAAATTTCCTTATCGGGCAGAAACGTTGACAGTTTTCAAAACGGTGGACAAAAACAGTTTTTCTGTTTCGACATTTGCCCGGACTATTCGTAGGGGAGGTTGGGGCAAGTGAGTACGATTTTTCCGATTTCTCTCAATTGTCTTTATCGGGCAAGTTGGAAGTTTTCAAAAGTTTGACAAAAAATTTTTTTTTACGTGTACAGCAGCAGGAGCTCATGGATTTTTCCACTAGAAAATAATATTTGAAAATCCGCACTGGATTTTCGAAATTAAAAAAAAAAACGCAAAAATGTACTGTTTAGGTTAATTTTTGTTGTCCCATAAAAGCGCATTTGGAAGCTTTCAAAATTCAGAAGCGTGTTTTTTTTTCCGCCCGGACTATTATCAGGGGAAGTTGGGGTAAAAGCGACCAAACGGATGAATTTTTGCGATTTTTTCTCATCTGAGGGATGCTATTGGCGTGAAAGTTTTCCAATGAGTCCAAAATCCAAACAAGGATCGATGGAAATTTCTACAGGGATAAAATTTGTAACAATTTTTCGAAAAAAAAACGCTTCTGTGAGTTTCTGCTTTCCAAATGTCTTGTGGTGTGTTTCAAAGTGGAAAGTAGAAAGTTTTCAAAATTTCGTTATAAAAAATTTTTCCTGGCTTATTTGCCCGGACTATTAGTTGGGGAAGTTGGGGCGAAGGCGACCAAGTTGATCAACTTCTGCTGGTTTTCTCAGCTGAGCGAAGCGAATTGCGTGAGATTTTCCACATTTTTAATACAGGGGCCGATGCATTTTTTCACTACAATTTTTTGAAAATTGGCACTGGTTTTTCGAAAAAAAAAACGCAAAAATGTACTTTTAAGGTTAGCTTATGCCATCCCATAAAAGCGCATTTGAAAGCTTTCAAAATTCTGAAACGACGTATTTTATCGCCTAATTTGCCCGGACTAATAGTAAGGGAAGTTAGGGCAAAAACGGACACTTTAATCGATTTCATCGATTTCTTCTCAACTGACTGAAGGTAATTCCGCGACTCTTTAAACATTCAAAAATTCATAGCAGGAAAACGGCTGGAAATCCTCAACTAGTCCGAAGGACCATTTCGATAGAGAATTTCCATAGCTATCGACTCCCGATGATAAACCACCGAAAATCCCAAGCTCAAACGAGTTACAGCGGAAAATCACTTTGTTTACAGTGTTGCCAGATGTTGCAAATGTACGTAAAAACCGGCCCAGCGCTGGCAATTGGAAAGATCCTGGGCTGCAATTTGGTGAAAAACTTGATATTAACGGCCCGAAGCGCCCTATGAAAGCGCACCAGCATCCACCGGGGGCTTCGCCCCTTAAGCGACTCTTTAAACCTTCAAAAATTCATAGCAGGAAAACGGCTGGAAATCCTCAACTAGTCCGAAGGACCATTTCGATAGAGAATTTCCATAGCTATCGATTCCCGATGATAAACCACCGAAAATCCCAACCTCAAACGAGTTACAGCGGAAAATCACTTTGTTTACAGTGTTGCCAGATGTTGCAAATGTACGTAAAAACCGGCCCAGCGCTGGCAATTGCAAAGATACTCGGCTGCAATTTGGTGAAAAAATTGAAATTAATGCCCCGAAGCGCCCTATGAAAGCGCACCAGCATCCACCTAGGGCTTCGCCCCTTAAGCGACTCTTTAAACCTTCAAAAATTCATAGCAGGAAAACGGCTGGAAATCCTCAACTAGTCCGAAGGACCATTTCGATAGAGAATTTCC